TTCGTGTCAAGCTATGGTGCAGGGATTTTTTTGATCTCATGGTGCTAGCATCAGTTGAAGCCATTTCGGACGATGGTGATGGTCAGGGATCGACTCCTGCGCCAAAGCCAAAGGCCAAACCTAAGTTGGCTCCTAAGTCCAAGGGGGCACCCAAAGGGAAAGCTGATGCAAAACCAAAACCGAAAGCTGATGCGAAAAAGGTCTTGCCTATGAAAATGCAGAATGAGGAACCAAAAGAGGAACCAAAAGTGGAACCAAGAGCGAAAACTGTGTTGAAACGCCCTGCCGCAGCGACCAGTGATGACATCGCCCCAAAGAAAAAGCCGGAGTCTCTTGGGATTTCAAAGAGCCGCTACAAGAACGGGACCTGGTGCTTCAAGTTGAAGAACAAACAAGTTCTTTTGCCCCCTTGTCCTATCGAGAATTGAGCCCAATTGGGATTTGTTCACAAAACACCAGTTTCCCTTCTTCAACCAGCTTCCCAACTCAGATGCATCATGATCCGAGCCTTGCGGAAGAAGTCCAAGAGCAGATCGCAGCCTTTCGGCCGGCATGTGTTTAGGTGGTTCCACGTCTCAAGGTTCTCAAGTTCCGCAAGTTCGACATGTTCCACATTGTTTGACATGTTCCGCAAGTATCCGCAAGTTCTTTAGTATCTCAGGTGTCCATTCGATCTGAACTGGTGAGAACCCATGGGGATGTTCAAGCAGCTGAGAACTTGAAGGCTTGTTTCGGTGCGATGATGATTGAATGTCTTGTTTGTTGAGACCTCGTTCGAACGACCGGAGTAACAAACTTCGGTGAGGACAGGATGCTGGCAGAAGCTCGTCGCCTTTATTCCAGTGAATGCAAGCCGGACCAGTCTGAACCGCTTGGAGCGATGGGTGATGAGAATGCTGAAGGGGAGGAGGAAGAGGGGAATGAAGATGACCTCTGTGAGGAGATGGAGGAGGAGGAGGAGGGGTAAACCGGCCTCCTCCCGAGTCTCGCGGCCAGCATGGCATGTAGAGCTCACAGCCCACCAAGAATGGCGAGAAAAGAACATGAGTAAAATGTAGCGCTTGCGCGCGTCAGGCTCGAAGTGTCCTAGAACTTAGAACTCTTCCAAACTGCTGTGACTAGTTTTGTGAAGCGTGGCCCAAGTGAGCTCTACAAAAGCGTTCCGTCTAGTCACTTGAAGACTTGGACTGGAGTCATGATGCAAGTGTGTTCAAAAAGGCTGTGGGAAACGGCAGTGCGAAGTTCGAACTCTCACGGAAATTGTTTCCGTCGTCCTTTTTGTCCACTGAAGTGTTCATCGGTTTGTCGGTTTGTGTGTAAAAACTGCAAGCCATGTAATCCACCTTTAATCAGCTGGTTTGTGGTCCATAGTCTTTGACATGTAAAGGAGGGCCAATACGACCGAAAACACACAGTGGACAAAAGAGCGACCCTTCACACACACACAGGTTTTAAGTTTGTACGCAACGCCCAACTCAAACAACTAACGCGCAGTGCGCAAAAGCATATACTTTTGCAAAAGTGACCCTTCACACAGACAGTTATGTTTATATGCATTGGGTGTAGGTGGCTCAACTCAAACAGCTATAGCGAGCATACAGCTTAAAAGATGACTCAGGTGGCAGAAGAAAAACATCTGCCGCTCTGCGCGCTAAGGCAGCGCTAACAACAATACTGGCTCAGAAGCAGTTGAGCTTGCTGAGCTTTAGACTTTGAATAGCTACATGATAAGCTCCAAAAAGCAAAACCCAAGTCACACTTCAAACCCTGAACAGCGGGAACATCATATAGATGTTCACCCCGATGGAACTTGATCCGAATCGTCGAACACCAGGTGGAACTACCCACCATAAACTCCTCCATCAAATGAGGACCAGATCCGGGGTCGTGAACTTCCACATGCTCACGTTCAGGTCCTATCTCCAAGAGCTTCAGGCACCCGGCTCTCCAAGAGTTCTCATCCTCAAGTGGTTGACCCTCCTCTCAGGCCGTGGCCCGAAAAACCCAGTGGGAAACGAACGCATAGCCAGAGCCTGGAACGAGTATTGGCTGCTGGACCAACTGTGTGAAGGCCTATGGGTCATCACAAGATGATCCATGTGAGCATGGGCGCCGAGATGGAGGCGGTCAACGTGAACTTCATCTACAAGATGCTGCAGAACGCGAAGGCGGGGTGTATCCCCGACATGATCGAGCACTAAGGTGTAAGGGTGGCAGGGGCGAGCATGACTGGAACAACTTGGGTGGTGCAGCCGAGTGGCTCAAAGTGAACGCCCACGCAGTGCTTTGAGCCAAATTGCCAACCCTAGCTGGGACTTGGTCAATGAAGGTGAATACGGTCCTGGTGGAGGAACGCAAGGAAGTTTCCAAGCGGCTCGAATCCAGTGGTTGGAGCAACAGCTGATTCAGATTCGTCGTGGGCGCCTGCAAGAACATGAGCGGCGTGGTGGTGGTGAGGCTTTGTCGACACCGAGGTGGGCATCGGAGTTGAATGACAAGCTGCGTCAGGGGAGATCACGCGGCGCAGAGGGGAGGGGTGGTGGGGCCGTTCCTCCGCCACCTCCACCGTTGACACAAGCAGCGCATGTCCAACAGGCGAAGGTTGATGGGGCTGATGAAGGACGAGATGATCTTTGTGCAGTTGCAGTTGTCCTACCGAAGCTGCCGGAAGAAGGATCCCATCAGGCTCCACTTCGCTGTGGCGATTGGATCGCTGAGGTTGCCCCGTTGATGTCAGCACCGGCGCCGGCAGGTGGTGGTCAGACCTTATGGCAGAAGTTGGCGAGGCCTATAAAACCTGGCTGGCCTCTGACCCATTGACAAGACTGACTGTGGACACTCCGACTCGACCAAACCATTCAAGATTGGAAGGTCGCGTGACAGCCTCTTCTTGCATCCCTTCCTCAGTCACTCAACTCAAAGATCATCGCTTCGAGGAAACTGACGGCAGGAGCCATCATGCTCGAGGTGTTGAAGCAATTTCAACCCGGAGGGCTCACGGAAAAGGCCGGCTTGCGCAAAGCGTTGACTGCGCCTACTACGGCAACTACAGCGGCAACGCGGGAGCGATTGGCATGATGTCAGGAGCAATGCCTGCTTTGGAGGAGCCGCGATGAGGCTGCTGACGACTACACCATTCTCAAGGGTGCGTTGGCGGTGGCGGTGGCAGCGCTGCTGTTTGCAAGGCGCGATGCAGAGTCGCAAATGGTGGATCTCGCAGCGGCAACACTCATGGCTGTAGGTGCAATGCTGTTGAGAAAGATCACGAAAAGATGGGATAGGGAAGATGAACCATCCCCGGGGGGCATGGCTCCAAAGGCCACGAGTGACGGCGGTGTGAGGGCCCCAAATCAACCCATACGGTGGAAAAAAGAACCAATAAGATTGGAACCGACCAAGAAGACGGAAGGGTCCAAAATGAACCTGCCGCGGGAAGTGCCCCTCTCACTCACGCGGCGAGTAGCCTGTCAAGAGGCTCCCATGCATGCGATGCGAAGCCCGTGGCGCGTGCACTGAGAGCACTGGCCTACCCGCCAAGAGCATGGCCTCGTGAGCCATGGTGGCACCCACCATACCATCAGCCACCAATTGGCAGCTCAGACAGACTGGCCCGACCTCAAAGACTATCTCGAAGCCACCTCCTCCAATGCCTCCTGCAGAGAGATGGGCAAATGCGCCGGATGGACTTCGCGAGGTCCTGGAAGCACTGTCCAACTCAAACATGGACTGGGATGCAGCTCCAGGAGGAGAACCTATCTACTGGGTACAGGTTGGAAACCGCCTGTACCACCGACTACCACAACCAACTACTCTACGCCAGAGTCAACGAGGGTCCGAGATGGAAGTCATGCAAGTGACCAATCGATGGTTGCACCAGTGCATCGTGGTGGCTATGTGCGAGGCAACTCAGATGACCGCGGCGGGGCTATAACAGCTGCCATGGACGGGTACACCATGCTGCCGGGACTTCCAGGTGGCCCTACGCAGGAAGCAGCGAATGCATACTATGCACTTACCGAGGCAGATGAACCGCCCCAGCTCGGTGGTTGGATCTGGTTGGCGTGCGAGAAGAAGTCCGCCGCAGGCCCTCAGGCGAAGATTATGAGGACCAGTTTGACGGCTACGACATGTGAACGAGGGTCTTGAGCTACAGGCTGACCTTTTTCAAGTTCAGGCATATGCCTGAAGGGGGAGTGCAGAGGAAAACCTCGAAACCACTCAAGTTAGGAAGTCAGCATAGCACAAACCAAGCTGTGAAAACGCAGTGTCGACGCGAGACCCCTTTTATGGATCAAAGAACCTGCTGCGCGCCCTACGCAAAAACAAATATCCTTGAGATAAAGTGTCTCCTTATATAATGAAATTGATCATCCTACGTAAGTGCATCCGCTTTGCAAAAGACACTTTCCTTTGCAGAACCCCTAAGTTTTTTCTTTGCCAAGTCAAGTCTCCTTTTTTCTTACTCACGTAAGATTGTTAACTGTTACCGCTTGGAAAAGGTATGTGCTTGATGCATTTTGCTGCTGTCAAACCTCCGAAAACATGTGTCTGATATGATCCGACTGACACATTGTTTTTTACAGTCTCTATGAAGATACTGCTTCTTTGCAGGCTTGTCATCCTTAGAATGATGGTGTCCTTTGTATAGAGGCCTTCCTCATTTACCGTTTACAAAGCTAACGCCTCCTCACCCTCTGTCAATTTCCCCTCATCCAAGACCTCCATATGTTGTAGAAGTCAAGTATCCTTCTGGGTAAAGGTGTTCCTCGAATGAAGTATTGTCATCATTCCCCGAGCCTCTTCCGTTCCTTGAGGGAAAGTTGCATTTCGCCAAGGCCTCAAACATTTGGGTATTTAGATTGCTTTCTTGAAGGATTGTCAATATGTTTTATTCTCTTATTCTTCGATATTGCAATATTTCAGCAACCCTCACAGAGCAAAGATATCTACAGTGTGTCAGCAAAAGGTTTTGTATTTCTCGGCCCATCCCTAGTCTACAGGAAGATCAAGGACAAGGAGATTCTTGCCGACCGCATCACAGATGGTCAAGAACTTGAGCTGGCCAGCTCAGTTGAAATTGTTGCCTACCGCATCATATCCAGCACTTCTAGTATTCTTTTGCGTTGGACAAAATTGCAAATGGTTCGATTGCAACTAGGATCAAAGCTAGTTCTGCGTGCCGCCCGTTTGTTTTTGCCTCCTGAGGTCCAGCCGTTTTGAATGTGTACAAAGTGCCTCCGTTGAATGGGAGTAAGCTTCACGTCCTCAGCTCCGAAGCTTCACGTTTGATTTCTCCGTGCCAGCGCCCACCTTCCCACAGAGTTGGACAGTGGAATATTGTTTGGACTCTGGTGACAAGGTCAAAATTGTTTTTGTAGACTTGGCCTTTGTCCCAAGTGGCACTATTTTGATTTGCCAACCAGATAGGAACTTGTTCTACGAAAATGAGCTTTGCTAGTTGGTGCTTTGGATGTGTATGGCACCAAAACATTGGTTTACCTTTCGGAGTCTAATTGTACCGCCATGCAGTTTCGACAGTCCCACATACACGTTTGAGGTAGGGTACAGCTGGTCGCAGGCACTGATTTGTTTTTTACTTGAATTAATCGAATTAACCTGCACAATTGGCATGGTGGCAGTGAGCCATGTGTCGCCGGAATCTTGCGTTTCTTCCTGTGCGTGATATCAATGGTGAATTGTTTGGGTTGGTGCTGCACACTACCTGGCCTCGTACAAACTGCAATCTTCCACCATGTTTGTGTTGCTTGAACGAGGACGGCTCTCCAGGAAGACGCAGAGCAGCCAACGATCCTTCACTTTCCAAACAACAGCTGGCAGACGCGCACTGACCAGACAAGGGGAGTTTGAGAAGAATGACGAGTCTCACGTGTAAATTGTCAGGCTTGATCAAGCAAGAGTCTGGAGTCTCCAACAAATGTGACTTGGCAGAATAGGGTTAGTTTCTGAGATCTGAGGCACTTCGCTCACAATTTCAATGAACCGATGGTGAGCAGTGGTCAGTACATAGAGACGTGTGTATATATACAGACTGATCGCGAGAGAGAATACCACCTCAAGAAACGACATTTGGTGAGCATTTTGGTCGCATCATTGTGGCGAACGGCATACCATATACTATATATATATGTATGTATACACATTGCTAAGTAGGATCCCAGGGTCCGTACTTCGAGAATCCTAGAACAAATTAAAACATTTTAAGAGTTTGGGGAAGTAGGAAGTACGATTGCACAGAACTCTTGTTGAGAATCCCAGAAAATAGGAAGTATATAAGATTATCTAGGAGAGCTTTGTGCAATCTTGCTATATACGTCTTACTTCCAGCAAATGTTATAATGTATCATGGTTTAAAATCTTCTGGAATTCTCTAAGTCGGAAGCAAGATTCCTTACAAGAGTTGTGTGCAATCTTACTTCTTGTGAAGGCCTCAGCGGCCTCACCTTGTATCATCATGATAGTCTCCTTTTTGCATTGAAAGAGCCTTTCCTCTGAAAGTGGTTTCCACCCTGGAAAGGTCAAAGTATTGTTGATGGAAACCTTTACGGAACATTGCCTAACCATATTGACTTTTTGAATCAAGGTATTCATAAGACTAAGATTGAGACTCGTCCCTGTCAAAGGATTTTGGATCCTGCAACCTGTCAAAGACTGATCATGCAAACCTTCTTGTCAATAATGACAACTTGTTTTCGAAGAAGCTTGTCAGGTGTCCAACCCACATGAACAAACCTAAATCCCAGTCAACTTTGCTAGAAAGACTTACATTTGGACAACCAATTAACATTCAGGTGTCTTCCAGCAATGTTACCTCAACGCTTGTAGGGGGCACATGTTTTGCAGGGACAGCTTTGTTGAAGAATTGAATATATACGAGAATGCAGGAGCATCCAAATGGAAATGTTATGCTCAGACAGGGTGAGTCCCTCATCAGAAGAAACATTCACAAAGGATTCGGTGTTCAAAGAACCGAACATTCCTTGCACCAGGGAGAGGCGCTTGTAAAGATGCGATGTGGATGCAGGATGGCAATCCATTGCTAGTCAAGAGTCAAGAGCAAAGTCTTTAGCATGCAAATTCAGGGAAACCAAAGCGATTCCTATCATTTTGAGGGTGCTGTGGTTAGTGGATTACTTGAATCTCAAAAGGAGTTCCTGTCCTTCGTAAACAATGATCTTCAAGCAGTTTTGTTTTTGACTTTTGAGTAGTTCTTCTCCTGTGTTTGACAAAACATGTCACTTCAATTGAACGATTTTAAACCGGGAGACACCTTGCCTTTGAAGGAACGTCCTTCCATATAAAAGAGGACGTGGTACACAATTGCTGGGACCCCAAAGAGATTCCTTTTGTCTTAGAGGAAATCCTTTCAAGAAGCCGAGAGCCAAGCATGCAGACATTTTGGAACACAATAATGATGCAAAATCATTTGGACACTCAGAACAACGATCATAAATGTTTTGATTTTTTTTGGGGGGTGATGAGGGGTGGGGGCTATCATATACATATATATATATAAATATGTTTGTGTATACAGTCATACATATGCACGTGTGATACATTACAAACGATTGAGTGAAATCCACCGGACCAAGGTGTTCTGCAATGGGCCAGAGCTTGTGGACTGACGCGAGTGCTTTGGGTGGACGGGGAGTTGCTCAAAAACGTTTAAAAGGTTACACAAGAAAGTCCGCAATCGCAGACTCATGATGCAGGGACAATACTGTTTGTATGTGCCGCGATATAATAGCAATGAGTTGGCGTAGCCAAGACAGTCATGCTAACATACAAGGGAACTGCTTCTCCTGACAATCTATCAAACGCGCCGGCCAGGCCTTTGGAAGTTCTGTTTCGTCACCGCTGCCATTTGGGCGCAAGTTTTGAGCCTTTTAGTTTGTGCCCTATTTCCGCGCTGGACACCGAAGGCCAGGGTGTCAGAAGCTTGTGCTCCAAAGGCTCAGAACATACTGTGGTGTAGTAGATGAACATGAACATGTCAACTTCTTTTTCTAGCCTGAAGCTCTTTGCCACCACAAAATGACAGCTGAAAAGTCACTAGGTCACTAGTAGAGCTTACACGGTGCTCCCATCATCTCCCATCCACAACCTACCGCTTTTGTTTAGGCTTTCAATCTCTTGAACGTCATGGCGGTGGAGTTGACCAGCACTGCTTTCATGATGGCAGGGGGTGTATTCTTGGGTTTTGTTGCAAAGCAAGATCAGATCTTTTTGCGAAGAATCGTTTGTGACATTTCTTGCCTGTCCCTAGGTCCAATCCAATTGACTACTAAGCCGCCAAAAGTAAAACCTTTGGGCAGAGGATCTAAGGACAGACAAGTCTTGAGCTGGCAGAAAAGGGGTCGTCAGGTACCGGTGGAAGGTGGAGAGTCTTTTCGAAGCAATGTTAACAGCTTTGCCATTCAACGTGTGCAAATGGAAGTATAACACGAAATCACAATACACAACATGCATACATTCAACACCAATCAGTGCTGCGCAACATTTGTTGCCTGTTTGACTGGCCCATGAATCGCAGGTTTGCATGGCTTTGGTTCAATTGATGACTCCCGGCCTGGCTTTCTTCTATGGTGGTCTTGTGAAGGCTGGAACCTTCAGAAGGAAACGAAGCCTTTTTCAAATTACTGGACATATCTAGTTGGAAAAAAAGTAGGAGAGTCAATTGCTAGGATACCAGTGTGCTTACCATGATGATGCAGAGCTTCGTGTCAATGGGAGTGGCATCGATTGTGTGGTTCCTCGTGGGTTTCTCCCTTTGCTTTGGAGAGACGATGTACTTCGTGGGCGATCCCAGGACCGCTTTTTCCGTACATGCTAGTGTGGGGTTCTTTATTTTCGGGTCATCCCAGTCCTCTTCATCCCCCCACCCTCTTCTCGCCTTACACACAACAACTCACTCACTCACTCACTCACTCACTCACTCACTCACTCACTCACT